AAGGGAAAGTAACTTGTTAAAGGGAAAAAAAGGGCCCCCCTCCCCCCCCCCCCCCAGGCTTTTTAGGTTAACTGTTTCAGATCTGCCCATCCTTCTACTTGCTGGTATACTAGAAGAACATTGGAGCGTGCTTCGAAATGAAAAAAAGTCCTTTTGGGCATAAAATAACGTATGAAGGAGTAACCCAAAGGGCGCCTTTTCTGTTTAAGATGACGCCACTTCCACAAAATAAAATGGACATTTAAAAAAAAAAAATTTAAATCAAAGAATGTTTCATTAAAGGAGAACTATGGGGTCAGGGCTTTTCCCCATAGTTCTCCTTAGGGTAACAGGAGGACACAAACTAGCGTCCTCCCGTCACCCTAAGCTCAGTATACTGAGACGCCGCAGCCGGAGCGGATCCCGACATCAATGTCGAGATCCGCCCAGCTGCGTGAGTGACAGCTGGCTCTGCCTATCTAGAGGCAGAGCCAGCTGTACCCACCCCCTCCCCCAGTCAGCGTTGGCGGATCGGAGCGGGGAATCCAGACCCTCACTGTCACGGCTCTCTGCTGTGACAGGATCGAGAGGTGAGCGAATGCCGGTATGTGTTCGCTCACTTCCCGATCTACTGAGCCGACCTGTGACAGTCTCATTGTCACAGGACGGTTAGAACTATGAGGGGAGTGAAAAGCTCCCCCCTCATAGTTCTCCTTTAAACAAAACAAAACGCAGAAATTAAGTACAAAGACGTAGTGCTCCTGAGGAAGTGGCTAATGCCGTGATATGCGTAAAGAGTTTGGGTACCAGTTCCTGATTTGGCCTCCTCATCCCACGGCCTGATCCAGGATATACTACCTCTCCTATACCGTTTAGGGCAGGGGCGCCCAACATTTTTCATCTGGAGATCTACTTTTCAAATGATGAGCTCAATGAGATCTACCAACAAAAAAACACCTGCATTCAGGGGTGTGGCAGTACATTGCCGGCTCCATGCGTTCAGAGGTGGTGCGGCGGTGCATTGAAGTCAACGGCACCACAGCCACGCCCCCAAGGCAATCACCGAGTTCCGGTCCAGTGCGATCGGCAAAAATGCTGCATTTTTGCCGATCGCGCTGGACCGGAATACAGGCACTAATGTGCTTGCATTCCTGGTGCCATTGACTTCAATGCACCGCCACACCACCTCTGAAAGCAGGGAGCCGGCTGGCTTGCGTTCCAATGCGTTCTAGAGGCCAAACACTCTGGAACGCAGACTTTGTGGTGTGAACCGGCCCTCTCTTCTCACGCTCTCCCCTCTCTCTTTACTTACCTCCACTGCAGCAGCTTCCCAAGTCTCCTCTCTCCTTCCCATCTGCGGCATCTGACACATTCAGCCGCACGAGCACTGCGGGAGGACAGGACACAGGCCAGTGAGCCAATCGCGATCTACCTAATGGGCACCCCTGGTTTAGGGTGACAGCCCTGACAGGTGACATGGACTCCAGGATATACTACCCCTCCTATACCGTTAAGGAAGACAGCCCTGACAGGTGACATGGACTCCAGGATATACTACCTCTCCTATACCGTAAGGGCGACAGCCCTGACAGGTGATGTGACGTGAACCCCCCCAGTCTAAGTGATGACCGGTGTTTACTGGAGCACCCAGCAAGGAATGATGAGCTGGAGTCCCTAAAGGCCCCCGAGGCTACTTTGCTGCATACCAACACTAGGTCACGGTCCTCCGGCTTGCCCCACCAGACGGGTACAGGAGCAGGATGGCTACGATGAGGAGAGAAAATGGAATGGGATCACAAGGCCAAAGCCCACACAGAGGTCAAGGCATAGAGAGTAGTTGGTGTCAAGCAAAGGTAGGGGCAGGCGAGAGAGTAGTTAAGAGTCTGGGGAAAGGTCAATGCAGGTGGCAGACAAGAGAGTAGACAGTCAATTACAAAGGTCGAGGCAGGTGGCAGACAAGAGGAGGAGAGGAAGTTTGGGCAAAGGCTGACGCAGACAAGAGTAGTCAGTCTGGGCAAAGGTCGAGGTAGGCGACAGACAAGAGGAGTAGTGGGAGTTTGGCCAAAGGTTTATGCAGGTGAGAGAGTAGTCAGAGTCTGGACAAAGGTCGAGGCAGGCAGCAGACAAGAAGAGTAAAGAGAGTTTTGGCAAAGGTTGACACAGGCGAGAGAGAGTAGTCAGAGTCTGGGCAAAAGGTCAAGCCAGGCAGCAGACAAGATAGTATTTAGAGACCCGGCAAAGGTCAAGGCAGGGGGCAGACAAGAAAAATAGACGGAGTTTGGGCAAAGGTCAAGGCAGGTGCCAGACAAAGGTCAAGACAGGCAGCAGACGAGAGTATTTGGAGATCAGGCAAAGGTCAATGCAGCGGACAGACAAGAAGAGTAGAGGGAGTTTGGGCAAAGGTTGACGGAGGCGAGAAAGTAGTCAGAGTCTGGGCAAAGGTCAAGGCAGGTGGCAGACAAGATAGTATTTGGAGACCAGGCAAAGGTTGAGGCAGGTGGCAGACAAGATAGTATTTGGAGACCAGGCAAAGGTTGAGGCAGGTGGCAGACAAGATAGTATTTGGAGACCAGGCAAAGGTTGAGGCAGGTGGCAGACAAGATAGTATTTGGAGACCAGGCAAAGGTCCAGGCAGGTGGCAGACAACATAGTATTTGTTGACCAGGCAAAGGTCGAGGCAGGTGGCAGACGAGAGTAGTCTGAGTCTGGGCAAAGGTTGAAGACAGGCAGCAAGCAAGAGGTTAACAGGAACAAGCAGAGACAGCAACAGGGTTGGTCTATCCTTTTCTTCTATTTTTCCTAAAGCTGAACTCCTGCGCTAAATATAAAAGATTCCTATTCTAAGTAATCACCAAATAATTACCAAAATCGGGCCCATAGGTAAAATGTACTGCCTGCCGGTCCATAGGGGGTGCACAGCTGTGAGATCCGAAGTGGTTAAGTAAGACACAAAAAAAAAAGCCGCATTTCAGGTTCACAATTTTATTCAGTTTTAAAATAGATAATGAAACTGGTCCAAGGGCGGGAGACCAGTCACGGATATTAGGAAGTGCACATGATCCATCCAACCATCTACCAGGGCCAGAAGAAGAGCTTGCTACCAAACCTGGACGGCTTTAACTCTTCCTCGATAGGAGGAATTGGCTCCGGTCTCTCTCTTGATTGGTATACGTTTTCTGGAAGCGGTCGGTCAGTTTTCACCTTTGTGACCTAAATGGAGAAGACAAAGAAGAAGCAACACCTGAATAGCCATGCAGCGGGTAGAATACAAGCATCTTATATAGTTACTTTATTACTAGGGATGCACCGATACTAGTATCGATATCGGTGCCGATACCGAGTATTTGGGCGAGCCCGAGTACTTCCTGTATCAGGAAGCCGGGCAGCGCCGTCATTACACGCTGCCCGCTTTCCTGATTGGCCGGGAAGCCATGCTCTCTCGCCACTTGTGATGAGATTGGTTGGGAAGGCGGCTTCATGCTCCCTCATCGCATGGAGCCGGCCTCCCGACCAATCAAAGAGCAGGGCGCCGCGCTATTACACTCGCCTTCCGGTTCCATGCTGATTGGATGGGATGCCAGCTTCCCGGCCAATCAGCAATGAACAGGCCACACAGCATGGAGCTGGGAGTCAAGAAGCCGGGCCGCAGGTAATGACCCGCCTCCCAGCTTCCTAATTGTCCGGGAAGCTTGCTCCATGCTGATTGGCTGGGATGCCAGCTTCCCGGCCAATCAGCATCGAGCTGGCCAAACATGGAGCCTGGCTTCTCGGGCAATCAAGAAGCCCGATTGCCTGGGAAGCCGGCTCCATGCTACCGGAAGTACTGGTATCGGCGAGTACTAAAATATAAACATGCCAGCTTCCCGGCCAATCAGCATTGATCCGGCCAAACAATATGGAGTTGGCTTCCCAGGCAATCAAGAAGCTTGATTGCCTGGGAAGCCAGCTCCATGCTACTGGAAGTACCGGTATCAATGAGTACAGAAATATATATATCGGTACTCAATACCGAAAAAACGGAATCGGTGCATCCCTACTGAAAAGTATTCATTAAAAAGGAGAACTATGAGATGAGTGATTTCCACTCACCTCATAGTTCTAGCCGACCTGTGACAATGAGACTGTCACAGGTCGGCTCAGTAGATCGGGAGGTGAGCGAACACATACCGGGTTCGCTCACCTCTCGATCCTGTCACGGCTCTCTACGGACGGGGGAGGGGGCGGGTACAGCTGGCTCTGCCTCTAGATAGGCAGAGCCAGCTGTCACTCACGCCACTGGGCGGATCTCGACGTCCATGTCGGGATCCGCTCCGGCGTCTCAGTATACCGCGAGCTGTAGCTCGCATATACTGAGCTTAGGGTAACGGGAGGACGCTAGTTTGTGCCCTCCCGTTACCCTAAGGAGAACTATGGGGAAAAACACTGGGGAAAAACACTGACCCCATAGTTCTCCTTTAAGTATTAACCAGAAAAAATAAAGCAACCTTTGAACATCTCCCACAGTACTAAGAGGTGCATTTATAAATCTTTCGCAGAGCGAATGGCTTTCCGAGCATTTATATTTGATCTATGCAACACATTATGGCCTCCAAACGAGGAGTTTCCCACGCTGCTTGACTCCATCCAGGGTTCATAAATGCTCTGCAAAGCTAAAACTCAAAGATTTGCAGAGCCATTCGCTCTGCAAACATTTTATAAATACATCCCCCCCGCCCTCCCCCCCAATCGAAAACAGGCCTGACATTTCGGTACTTATTCAGCCATCACGCGGACAAAATCTCACCTTCGACAACTCTCCCAGATCAGGGCGCGTCCAGCCGAGCTTGTCCAAGACGCAGTTGTCAAAAACAGTCTGCTGCTTGCGACAGCGGCTAAGATCCTGGATGTCACTAGAGTCAATACAAGTCCAATATTCATTGAAAGGCTCCGCACAGTGACCCTTAACTCTTCTGGAAAAGAAAGAAAGCAAAGTTATAAATAAGTAACCAAAATACGAAACAGAGAAGGAGACCAGAAATCACTTCATATCGCCACCTATCACTTTCCTTACAATGTTGAGAGGCCCCAATATGTGACTATTGGCAAGGACACCACCATTCTCATACCAGTAATGCTCTTTCCAGACATTCTCCACCACAGTACCCCCCGGGGGAAGGGCTGGAAGCAGAGCAATCACACTTCAGCAGGTAGAACGAATAAAATGACAGCTTGGCATTGCTCTCAGTTCTTCCGCTACATCACTACTGTGTCCGGTAGGGACGTAATGGCCGTCAGGAGGAACCACGGTGCCCAATAGGGGACAAGTTATACGACACGCATCTATGTGTTAGGTAACTGTGGTGCCTGGGGCTCTTTAAGAGAGCGGAGTAAAAACAAGTTATCTACATTCTTCTACAGCAGGGGTAGCAAACCTCCGGGCCCTCCGGCTGTGGGTGAAACCACAAATCCCATGATGCATCTCTCTTCGTGAGTCGAGGCTGTGAGAATCTTGAAATGCCTCATGGGATTTGTAGTTCCACCCCCAGCTGGAGGGACGGAGGTTTGCTACCCCTGTTCTACAGGCTGGGTCTCTTAAACTGGCCAAAACTTTCTTTGCCATAGTTCTCTTTAGGGTCAAGGATGACATTTAGTAATGTACTCCTGAGACCAAAAACGCTATTGCCCACTATATGCCGACAGTGCAGGGCCACGCTGCAGCCGGGACGGATCCCGACAACATTATCAGGATCCATCCCGCCACCCGATTGACAGGTGGTTCTGCCTCTCTAGAGCCAGAGCCAGCTGTGCCCGCCCCCTCCCCTCTCTGTCCTTCCAGTCAGCACTGGAGAAATGGAGAGGGGAGTAGAGAATCTGTACGGGGAGTGGTGACTGACAGTCTGTCCCTCCAATCAGTGCTTGAGGAACGGAGAGGGGAGGAGGGAATCTGTGCGGGGAGTGGTGACTGACTGTCTGTCCCTCCAATCAGTGCTTGAGGAACGGAGAGGGGAGTAGAGAATCTGTGCGGGGAGTGGTGACTGACAGTCTGTCCCTCCAATCAGTGCTTGAGGAACGGAGAGGGGAGTAGAGAATCTGTGCGGGAAGTGGTGACTGACAGTCTGTCCCTCCAATCAGTGCTTGAGGAACGGAGAGGGGAGTAGAGAATCTGTGCGGGAAGTGGTGACTGACAGTCTGTCCCTCCTGTCAGCGCTGGAAGAATGGAGAGAGGAGGAGGGAATCTTTGCGGGCAGTGGTGAATCACAGTCTGTCCCTCCAGTCAGCACTCGAGGAGAGGAGGGAATCTTTGCGGGGAGCAGTAACTGGCAGTCTGTCCTCCAGTCAGTGTTCGAGGAACGGAGAGGGGAGGAGGGAATCCCTGCGGGGAGCGGTGATTGACAGTCTGTCCCCCCAGTCAGCGCTGGAGGGACGGAGAGGGGAGAATCTTTGCGGGGAGCGGTGGCTCTCTGCAGGGAGAAGATCGTGAACTGGGTGATGAGCGGTATGTGATCGCTCAGCTCTTGATCTATAGAGCCGACGTGTGACAGTTGCAGTGTCACAGGTCGGCTCCCACTATGGGGATGAATGCATTTCACTCCCCCCATAGTTCTCCTATGACATAGCGAAAGTCACTGTAAAGCTGAACTCCGGGAATGATCATTTATGGAAACTTACATTGGTTCAGCTTTGCTTCGTGTAAATATCCATCTCATATATCTAGAGGGCCACTGAGAATGCTGAGAATCACTTTCTCACCTGCGGCTTCCCCTGAGCACGTGGAGCATAGGGAGTCGCACACTGTTCGGAGATCGGATATGGGGACTTGCATTGAACCAAGCTGGACTAATGGAAATATCCATAAAAGATCATTCCTGGAGTTCCACTTTAAGTTTATTACTTTGACAAGGTGACTCAGAAGCCCCTCTTCCCATGTGACGTAATGCTGAAATAGACACTCGATGTCGACTTTGTACTGCAGATGGAGATCAAGGTCACAGAG